GTGCTTGCCATCATCTGACACAGTCTATGTTTTGTCTACCTGCCCCACAGGACCTGCACCTGTGTCTGTCTGGCTCACTGCCATGTCCTCAGTGCCTGGAGCAGAGTAGGTATTCAGTAAACACCGAGTGAAGAAGAGGAAACTGAGGCAGGCAGAAGTTCGGCTCCTTGCTCAAGATCTACAGCAGGTAGGTGGCAGAGGCTGGATTCCAACCCAGGCTGGCAGCTCTGGAGGCTTCCTAGTCACTGCCGCTCCTTTCCCATATAAAAGTCCCTTTGCGCATCAGAAACGCACCACCCACTTGCACATGTGAGCACAGGCACATCCCTCAAGGCCCAGTCGGTCTTGCACACTCAGGTCTGCCCCAGCCCCCAGCATCCCGGCCACCAAGCCCCAGGCCCCACATACAGGAACTTGCCGTCAGTCTGTGCGTCCCGGAGTAGAATTTGCGCTCGGCCTTGTCACGCGTCAGGCTGCTGTGCACAATGTTACAAGTCAGAACATAAACTCCCAGAGAAGCAGATGTGTGAGGCTGGGCTGCCCCATCTGCTTCTCCTGATTGCTCCATTTGCTGAGGTCATTTCTCAGATGCAGCCAAGCTTTGTAGGTCACATTTAGGTTTTGACAGAAGGAACCAAGTAAGCTCCTCTGCATCATAACCATCTTCCTCTGCCTGAAAACAGACATGACAGTGCATCTCCTGATTTAATAATGTAGAGACATTATCACATCTGAGAAGTTGGGTTCAGCCATATGTTGATATTTACTCATGCATCAAAAGAAAACCCATTCTAGATATTCTAAGCAGGAATCATTTTAATAGAGAGAATTAGAGTAGACACTACAGCTTTTCAAAGACTTGAGTGTGATGGTGAGGGAAGCAGATACCAGGAATAGGGGATTCTCTGGTGCTACTCTACAAACCAGAGCAAGTCTGCCACAGAAGGCACAGGCTGCGTAACCATGTGGTCCTCAGAACTGACTGGGAATCCCAGTGGTGGGGTGCTGATACTCTCCGTTGCCTGCAGCACCTCACCAGGTGACCCTCCAGTCCTCACCTCTGTCCACGTGTCTACATAGGTGCTGGCGGAAAAAACTGAAACCTCCTCTTCTGATTTCCTAATCTCATGGACATCCCCTCATTGAGTAACTCTACAGAAAACACAAATGGAAGAAAGGTTCTTAGATTTGTGCTTCTGGAAGTGATGAGGACAGTACTTGACAGTTATCATGCCAGTGTTGTCACTATTTCCCAAAACCTCAGAATTTTGCCTAACAAGGATGGAGCTAGAATACACTTGGACATTCTTCCCAGTATTAATAGCAAGTGTGGGATCATAGCAAGAAAACTTTAAGTCATAGAGTAAACAGAGAAATGAGGAAATTGCATGGAATGTATAACAATTGTTAGACAAACAAAAAGCCATTTTGACCTCCCCCAAATCCGAAACAGGGATGTAACATTCTTTTTCCTCAATATAAAAATACTTGATAATCAAAGCATGTCCAGCAGCATCACCAGCATCACTGAGATCACGTTACAAATGCAAAGCAGCAGATCAACCTTAGACCTGCTGAGTGACCATCTACATTTTAACAAGATAACAGGGGATCTGTACAAGGTTTAGGAAGCTATGTTGTAGGGGACGTATACTTCAGCTAAAGAGGTTTATTTATTCCTTCCTTGGAGGATATTTGAGAAAAATTCAGTATAAACCACATGTTGAAAACACACCCAAGATTATTTTTTAAGGAATTTATTTATTTTTTAATTGAAACCTATTGATTGTACATATTTATGGGGTACAGAGTTATATTTCAATATATGTATATAATATGTAATGATCAAATTAGAGTATTTAGCAAATTCATCATTGCAAAAATTTATCATTTCCTTGTGATGAGAACATTTGAGCACCACTCTTCCAGCCATTTGTGGACATACGATTCATCATTGCAAAAATTTATCATTTCCTTGTGATGAGAACATTTGAGCACCACTCTTCCAGCCATTTGTGGACATACGATAAATTATTGTTTATAATCTTTATGATTATTATTCTTAATAACAATAATAATATAGATGCCTAGTACTACAGTGCACCATTATTTTCAAATTCATGCAGAATTCATTTGAATATATTTCTTAAGATTTTAAAGTTTGAAAATTAAAATTATTTTTCCATGGAATGATAAAATACCTTGAAAGTTAAGTGAAGTAAAGGTTTTTAAAATGTTAGGAATTACAATGGTGAAAGAATAAATCTAAATCATGTGCACCTGTGATAGAAATAATGAGACTTAATTTTGCCTGTACAGCTCAGGTTTGGGGTGTCATTCACTCCTGCACCTGCCATGAGAATGTTGTGCTCTTGTTAGGCACTGTCCATCACCTTTGGCCTCAGGATAACCAATCCATAGGCTGGGGACAAGCTCAGCCCTGCAGCAGAACCACGGTGCCTTAATCAGCCAGATGATTGCTCAAATGAAAATGAAAACAAATATGGTTAGAAGACACTGACTTTTAAGTGGTTGGTTACCAACCATTATGGTGCAAAAACTGACCAATGTAGTATTTACACATCCACCCATATAGATATATGCACTTTATCAAAATGGATGTCATTAATATAAATACTTAATGATCCATTTAACAGCTAGGTCTTCAGAAAACCTCACCAAACTGCAAGTGAAAGGTATACGTGGACGACAAAGTTCTGATCAACGTCTTATTCCAACCTGATAAAATAATGCACCTAGGAAGATGGCAAGGCACATTTGGGGGAAAAAGAGAAATGAAACCTCGGGATGCTTTTTCTTCCCAAAAAACTTGTACAAAACACCATCTGACTGGGTCCAGGTGATGGAAGAGGCAGGAGTAAACAAGGATTAAATTCTGTAACTACAGAGGAGAAATTCTACCCTCAAACTGAGCCAACAGACATTTCTGACCTGACCACGTGGGTGTGGGCTGCTCAAGTGCAGAGAAGAGGAGGCAGGTGGGTTAAATAGCAAGAAACACAGCTCGCCAGCCTCAGCCACTTTGCATGTCCTTCCCTGCCCTTCCTATTGTCCAAAGCCCACATCAATGTCCATATCAAGATCTCCAGGAAGGATCTGCCTCTGTTAAGACCCAGAGAGAACCATGGCAGCCCCAGCTCGGATTCTTTGCCTCCTGTTCCTCCAGCTCGGAGGTAATGGGAACATAGGCTGGTTTTGCACATCAGTGAAGACTCTCTCAGCCTTGTTGGGTTTCTATGACCTGGCACTTCTCCTCAGCAAGCACAGCAATGAAAACTCAATGTAGATCAATAGTCCTGGTTCTATTGTGAGACAACGGGTATGATCGAGATTATATGGGTGACTTTTCTCTCTCATCTTCAATCTCAAATATCACTGGAGAAATTGTGACTCTCCAGCCTCTCCGCCTTTGTCTCCAAATAGCTGCACTCACTTGCAGGGCCAGTCAGAGTGTTGGCAGCTCCGTAGCCTCATGCCAGCAGAAACCTGGGTAGGTTTCCAGGCTCCTCATCTGTGGTGTGTCCACCAGGGCCACTAGCACCTCAGCCAGGTTCAGTGGCAGTGGGTCTGGGACAGACTTACTCTCACCATCAGCAGCCAGGACCCTTAAGAATTGGTGTTTTATTACTGGCAGCAGCATATCAGGTGTTCCTCAGTGATTCAACATGGAATGTAAACCTCTGGGAGACCATTAGCACTTTCTCACATACCACCTACTTCCTCAATAGGTAGTTGCTGTGGTGGCTGCTCAGATTTCACCTCATAGCTCTGCTTGAAAATCTTGAGGTTTTCAAAAGTAACTCCTGGAAATATGTCAGTTCTTATTCCTAGATTTTTTTTAGACTGAGTTGCATATCCAGATTCAGGCACCATATCACACTCAGCAGCATTAGACCAGACTCACATTAGTGGAAACCTATAAAGGTTCTGGGCAGTAGAGTAAGGCAAAAAATTCAACAGCAAAGAACCAGGATTGGTAAGGAAGAACTAAAAGTATGATAATTTATGGATGAAAGGAAATAGTTAAAATAAATAAGAATTAAAAGTACGATAATTTATGGAAAGAAAATAATCTTCAGAGAAACTATTAGAATTAATAAGAGAATTGCCAAATAATTGGATTTATGGTAAATACACAAAAGCTGATTAGATTTTTACATATTTTCAACAAATAATGAAAATTAACATAGGAAACATATCATTTATAACAGCATCAAAGCAACTAGAAAAAAATAGCAAAATACACCAACATCTCCAGAATACTATTCAAATAATCACCGAAAAGCCATATTATGTTCAATGCCTGAAATTCTCAGTATTGTAACAATGTGAATTCTTCACAATTTGATTTATCTATTAAACATAACCAAATCAAAATCCCACAGTTGTTTAGGGGAAGAGATGGACTGAGGAGATGGAGAAATTTGGTCAGGTAAAGAAGAACCAGCTGAAGACATGAACTAGGCAGACCAGAATGAAAGATGGGGAGCTGAAGAATGCGATAGAAACTTCAGTGGCAGGAACAGAAAATATGAGAAATTATGCCTTGTCCCTAAGCAGTGCTCTGTCTTTATGATCTTGGGCTTCTGGATAAGCCCCTAATGCAAAAGGACTTGGGCACTGACATCAACTCTTCCTCCTGTGGCTGGGACCAGAGGAGAAGGCTGGGAGTCCTGAATGTCCCTACTATGCCTTCTGAGGCACGTTTCTTACTGCTTAGGATTTAGTTAAGGATCGTGTATTGTATTCTCCATCTACCATTCTGCTGTTTTAAAGCAATTGTACCACTTGGAGAATAGGGAGGAGCTGGTCCTGTCTGATCACTTGGTCATAGGTGAGTCTGATGGGACGGAGATTTTGTTAAAAGAACACTCGGGGTTTCATCCTCTTAGTTGAAGAGGGGTCCTATTCTCTTGAATGCTAAGGGATGCATTCAGGTTATGAATAATGCTGCAGTAAGCATGAGGGTGCAGATATGACTTTGAGATTAGATTTGCATTATTTTGAATATAACCCAAGATTGGGATTGCTGGATCACTAATCACTATGGAAATGCAGGAAAAAAAAAACACAATAAGATACTACCTCATGGCTGTTAGAATGATTATTTTTTTTAAATGTGTTATCTAGAGTGTGAAGAAACTGGAACCCTTATACAACTTATCCACTTGGTGGTAATATAAAATTTTGCATACACTAGGAGAAACAGCATAAAATTTCCTCAGAAAATTAACATGTTCCATTTTGATATAATATGAATACACAATGATTCAGTATAATTAATTCGCTTAAATTTTTTCTACTATATTGCAGTGGTACTTTTATTGTAAATCAAATGACTATTTCTATAGGGATAAGTTTCTGTATTCCCAATTTGCACAGGCTTACTTGTCTACCCTTAACCAACAACATACTATTTTAACAATTGTTTATTATAGGATTTATATTGTATAGCAATAGTCCTCCAAAGTTGATCTCATGCAAGATTACTTTGGCTATGTCTGATTTTTTGAATGTCCTATGTATGTCAGAGACATCTTTAAATTT